ATTCAAATCTGCAACTCGTTACCAATGCAAATATGTTTTCTATAACTCGGGAGCGAAAAGGTTTTTTTTTCAAATGTTGCTAATTTCGCGCTTCTTTATTCTAATTTTACTATTATTTATATTTTACTTGATTTTATTTTTAGACTTTTATTCATCTTTTAACTATTTGTAGTTAATATGTTAGGAAAGGATTCTGGAACTGAAGAAAACGTGCGCAGATAGTATTTTTCCCCCTTACGTCTTATTGTTCATATAGTACTATAGTTTTTTACTGTTCTTTGACTACATAATTAAATAAATGAAAAATATTGAACGTAACGTGTGGATAAAGGTGTAGAATTGCACTCGTGGTAAATAAGAAAACTCGCTCCTTTCATCGCTCGTTTTCTTGAACAACAACAGACGTGCAATTATACCCCTCTTTATCCACTCACTTCTTTAATTATTATTATTGATTGCATAGTTAAATTTTTAATTTCATTCTCATTACATAGAACATTTAATTAATGTACTAGTAAAATATTCCGTATGTACCAAATATAAAAGTTCAATTGGAGAAGGTACCTTGAAATGTAGTTAGCCCCTCTCTCTTGTTTTAGGCTGCGCAGATTAAGCAATAATAAAAGTTGCTCATATTTAGTATTGTTGTCTCTCAGTTATGCATTACTCTTTATTTATTTTTAATGTGTTTCTGCAAAAATATAATATAACAAGTGGTGTTACAAAATGGTACAGGCATTTTCGTACTAGTTAGACTCCTATTTTTTACACTGTGCTATCTTCGATATTGTCCCACCATCTCAGCTGCCATGCATAGGCGCTTGAATTTTTTTCTTTTACTTTTTCGCAATTTTACCCAGGATCCCTAATAGTAGAATAGAAATAGAACTTCAAAAATGTATAAGAAAGGTTGGAATAAAACCTGGTCCAAGGTTGTTGGTTTTTTTTGTTTTTTTTTTCCCTTTCACTATCACTGAAAAATTTTCAACTTTGAGTAATTGTACAGCCTTGAGTAAGAGAACAGTAATTGTAAATATAAATAGTTAACATAAACATACAGAAAACAGTGAATTGTAATAATTTTACAAAAAAATTAATATTAATATCAACGAAATTTATTCATCGAGCATTAATCACCAAAATTATAATTCTTAAATCGATATTATACAAATAGGGAAACTACTTATGAAACTTATATTCACGTGAATTTTATTTTATGTATCAGTATTGTATATTTTATGTATATATATTCGCTTATATTGAAATAATTTGAGCTGAATATATTCAATTTTATGTTGAATGAATACTGATGGAACACCCGACTCTGTATCGCCGGGGCCCCATTCTATCTCTATTTGTCACTTCAGTGTAGCGGGGTTATCTGGCGAGTGATGAACTTTTGCCACTATTTAATTTGCTTAGATTGTATTCCCTGCTCGCTTTTTTAGATCTATAATTCGCATTGAAATGTTTATTACTATTATTGTGAAATGTATTATATTCAATTATGTTTATATAATACGCGAAGAAAAACCAATGTTTTTGTACAATTTATAGGAAGTCATATAGACACATCCCCATAAATGTGCCCATTACTTGAAAAGAAATTATTTCCTGAAATACGCCCGTTTTAGGCTACTAATATCTTTTTTTAGATTAGGTATGCAAGGAAGAAATCAATAGGCTCATATGCAACCAGCAACATACGTTACATTGCAGCATACGTTATCACCGTGGATAACACAATAACAGGTGTTTTATAATACAGTCAGTAGGTACATTTTATTTGACACAAAAGGTCGTAAACACCCTTTAGTTAAAAAGTTTTCAACTGCCAGACCCTGAGCTAACTCCGGGACGCCCGACAACCCGGTATTTTTCTGACTTTTTTGTTTGTTTTTTTCTATAACACTTTATTCTTAAGCCCAATAGAAATATCATTGAATTCAATGTTAATGAGGATAAATATTCCTACAACTTGTGTATACAATTATTTATTTAAAACCATTTACCAAGAAAGCTACAACTTTTCAAACAACGACATTTCTTAATATCTCCAAAATGTGCAAAAATACACATGATTATGATATTATCACCAACGCATAATAAATACAGTTATTACGAGGGCGATTGAAATGAAAACCGTAATTATTTTCTTAAATATTATTTACTGTACACGAATGGTACAAAACTTGATCAGCGTTCGACGTAGTCTCCCACACGCTCAAAGCACATCTGCCGGCGTTTCCGAAGTGCCTGAATTCCCGTAGAAACTAGTGCACTGCGTGGGGTACCTCGTCATCCCAAAGGAACTTTTTGCCGCCCATTGCTTCTTTAGGTGGCCCAAAGAGGAGGAAATCGCTCGGGGCAGGATCGGGCGAGCAAGGTGGATGTGAGAGGCTTTCAAATCTCAGATCTGTTATTCTCGCAACAGTTGCACGTGCATTGTCGTGTTGCAGCAGAACACCTGCCGATATCATTCCACGACGTTTCGTCGTTTCAATTTCGAGCTCAGTTGTAGGGCCACCCATCTTGCAGACTCCTTTTGAATTGGAGCATATCATGTACAATGTGACGTGCTGAACCATGACTATTGTGTACAGCTTTTGCAATGTCGTCTAATGTCACTCGGTGGTTGTCCATCATGATTGCTTCAACGACTGCAATGGTCACTGGAATCACAACGCGATGTGTCTGGCCTGGGCGCAGAGTGTCGGCCACGGATGTCACACCATTTGCGAACATTCGACACCATTCGTACACTGGCCGCTGTGACAAGTAGGCGTCATCATACTGAACCTTCATTCGTCGAAGACTGTCAATATGTTTCACACCTTCACTACGCAAAACTAAACCACAGAACGCTGTTCCTCTCTGGTGCACGTTGCTAGTGGGGCAGCCATTTTTAGACTGATCCTTCGCCGGAGTTCGTGTATCTTCACAATTATGGCAACTAGGAGACATCTGGCTGACTATTGCCAACATGCCTATCAACTTACAGGTCACTAGCGCCACATTTGGATTTTTTATTACACTTTAACGGTTTTCATTTGAATCGCCCTCGTATTATAAGTAATATTATTATTTATCTTACAGTCGAGGAAAAAGCTGTCTCACAAATGTGCATATTGCCGAACATATTAATTTACAAATGATGGATGTGTGTGTTTGTGATTGAACTTACGTATTCTACGCGAGAAAAATGTCACTTCAACAGTACATGGTGCACATTATTACTGGGGAGTTGCAAAGGGGAAAATATTTTTTGGGGGTAAGACTCCTTTAGAAGTGTGGGTGGGAAGGTAGAGATATTTACAAACAAAATCATCATGCCACCCGCATTGCGCATACCTGTGTGGTGCGCACTGAGTGGGTACTATGTGCGAGACGAGTAGGACTGATTAATAAATGATTAAGATAAATAAACACACCCAATTTTAAACAGAATAAAATTTCCAACTTTTGTATATTTTATTTCCTAATTGAAACACTAACCGAGGTAAAAACCCCAAACAGAACTGAAGAAAAAGCTGCAGATTTGGTAAGCCATGTGGTAGTGGGACCCGACGGCCATCTGATAGAAGAGGCCTGCTCACTTTTCTACGTGATTATATATATATATATATATATATATATATATATATATATAACATTTAAATTTTATAAGTTTTAAACAATTATTAGAATGCCACCAATAATTAACCACTCCTCCACCAAACAAATATTTGGGGAGAAGTGTAGATGTCGCAATCTCATGCGTCAACGGCAATACGTAAATCCGAGATATAATACATGCGCATTTTCTCCAAGTGAAAAAGCAATTTTTCTTCTTATTTACTCGGGTAAATGACGTCTTTCACTTCCTATAACGTACGTCAGGGGAACGCATATAAAATGACAGCATTCAGAACGAAGTCTAAAGTATTTCAAAGATCAAAATAATTTCGCTTCGTCAGTACAATTAAACTAGTATTGATGACGACGACAATAAATCCAAAGGCAACAACTATCACAACAGGGGCCGAAGTTTGTGACGTACGCAACTTTCAGTCAGAATAATTCCTGTTCAGCGGGTTAAAATTCTATATATGTATCTTCAAAATGTTGTGATATGTTTCTGAAGTCTACATACAGAAATATAGAGAACAACTCTGTTTTAAAAGGTTTTATGCACAATGAAATAGTAAAATTTATCTACGTTCTTTCTTAGAGAAATACAAGCAATTTTAATATTAACTACTGTTTAGTTATCGTACCCTGAATACACAGCACACAAGTGAGAGAAGTCAGAAAGCAGTCTTCCCGTTTGAATATTTCTTCATATTGGGAACATAGAGATCTAACACAGATTATTGCACATATCTCCGTACACTGAATTGCATTATTATCTCACTCAGAATATATACATACCATCTTCTCCATATTGATTATTTTCTACTTTTTATGAAATAGGGGATATATTATCTGATTCTGAAATTCTCAGATTGATTTCCTCAATTCATTAATTCCATCACTAGCTGTATTCATGAAGGTTCTCAAATAACTAATCCTTATCACAGTAAAAAGTCAACAAAAGTGAATATAAGAAACTAGTTCCATGACTCATTTCTTTAGCAACGACACCTCGGAAATACACTGTGTATGGACCATTATGGTAATTACGCACGTTAAAACGTACTGCCCATTGCGAATTGAATTCCAATTAACTTCATCTGCGAATGGCGTCGCTGAAAAATAACCAGCTCCCAAACCGAGCGTACGTCAGAACACCATCAACCACAAGGTTACGCACTTTGTTCTGTGAGCTTCCATTCGCCCATTCATAACTTGTCAATTTGGCGCGGATTACATAAAACGCATGAGTGGGTTAAAGCGCCAGCGGAGAGCTTGACGCGCTATCTGCGGCAGGGCAGGCGGGCGCCTCGCGCAGGAGGAGGCCAGTGGGGCGGCGCGGGCGCGGGCGCGGCGATAAGGCGGCCAGTCCCTGCTCAGCCCTCGCCATGCGCAGCCGGCCAGCCACGCTCCTCGGGCGCCTAGCGCGCCTGGCCGCGTGGGTGCTGTGCGCGGCCGTCGCCTCCGCCGCCGCCGCCATCGAGTTCCCGCTCACCGACATGCCGTGGAAGCAGGCCTTGCTGCCGTGCGCGTGCAGCCGCCCCGACGCCCTCGACTGTGCCGAGCGCGGCAAGTCCACACTGGAAGCGCAGGACTTCTGCAACACCTCCGCCCTCCGGACCATCAACCTGTACGACAACGCCTTCACAGCCTTCCCCGACGGCGTGGGCTCGGCCGCCGCCGTCGACTTGTCGCTCAACCAGCTCGAGTGCCTGCCGCGCGCCGACCAGTTGAATCCTGCCATCGAGACGCTCGACCTCTCCAGGAACAAGATTTCCAACGTCAGCACCGAGTTGCAGCCGTTGGCTCGCCTGCAACTGCTTCGTGTCAGCCGCAACCGGCATATTAAGCATCTGCATTTCCTGCCAAACCCGTGTGCTCTAAAACATCTTCACGCCGCTTTCAACGAAATAGAAAACTTGGATGGTCCTCTTGGTTTATGCTTCGAACTCGAGACTTTGGATTTGTCTCTGAACAGAGTGACATCGCTTCCGGAAGACGCTTTTTCAAATTTCACAGAATTACGAGTTCTCGACTTGTCCTGGAACCGCGTTATGGTGTTTGGGCTGCAAACATTTGCGGTCCTTACTCAGCTTCAACGTCTTAATTTGGAATCTACTGGACTTCAGAGTGTTCCTGAAGAACTGTTTGCCAACTTAACTCAATTGGAACGTCTGAACCTCGCTGGCAACTGGTTGGAATCGTTGCCAAATGGTTTGTTTTCAACTCTCACAAAGCTAGTTCGTTTAGACTTATCTCGTAACCGCTTTGAAACTTTCCCTTCGGACGGAATAAGATGCATCGAATCTCTCGAAGTGCTGGACCTGTCAGACAACCGATTAGCCGTCATTCCGGCTGAAGCATTCATTACATTTTCAAACCTAAGTGTGGTGCACCTATCGGAAAACAATATCTCCGCGCTTTGTGCAGAAACGTTTGCAGGCCTTACCAAACTTAACTTCCTTACCCTCAGCGGAAATCCGTTATCAACAGTGACTCCAGGATTGCTCAGCAATATAACCAGCTTGAGATTCATGACTCTTTCGCTTAACGTGTTCGATACAGCTGAATTAGAGGAGCTGAGAGGAGTAAAGTACATCCACTTGGGTCCCAGTGGAATCACGTCACTGCCGTCACGAGCGTTTTCTTCCCTTCCATACCTAAAAGCCCTCACAATCTACGAAAACACCATCCAGTCCATGGCCGAAGACGCACTAGCAGGGCTTCCGCTGCTGGAGTTCTTGAGCCTGGGCGCCAACGAAATCTCATCCTTACCATCCCGAATTTTCGCCACATCGATTCGCTTGTTGGATTTACATCTCTGGCATAATCACATCTCCAAGTTGCCGGTAAACGTGTTTGCGAACTTGTATCGCCTCAAGGGGCTGCACTTGAACAGGAACCAGCTGTCGGAGTTACCAAGAGGGTTGTTTCACGGAACCCCGTTTCTGGAGAAGCTGGACCTCTCCAACAACCAACTGCGCTCTCTGCCGCCGCGCATCTTTTCCAATCTGCGCTTCCTGCGAGAGCTCAGCCTAGCGGACAACCAGCTGACGCGTCTCCCGGCCTACGACCCGGGGTGCGTCTCCCTGCAAGAAGTGACGTTCGAGCGCAACAGCTTCACGCGTCTGCCGCGCGGCGCGCTCATGTCGTGGCTGGAGGCGCGCGGCAAGGAGCGCTACGTGAACCTGGAGGACGACGGGGAGATCAAGGCGGAGACGCTGCGCTGGGTGTTGGAGGAGCCCGGGCTGCGCCTGGCCGGCGACGAGCGCAGTGGCTGCAACTGCGGCAGCGTGCGCAGCGGGCGCGCGCTCGTGCGGCTGTGCGTGCACATGCCGTGCTTCGAGCGGCCCGACTTCCCGCAGGACTGGGTGGCGGCCGTCAACGCCACTGGCCCCCGCGAGCGCACGCCCCCGCCCTGAGCGGCTCCGCGCATCGGCTCACAATGGAAATGACCGACAATGGAACGAGGAGCGTCGCCCCACTGATGGCGTGTTCCAACGTACGTGGATTTCGAGATGCGGTTATTTTATGTACCGTCTATTTTCGGTGTCGAAACGTTGCATTTCAATATGCAATTTACAACAGCCTTGTTCCTTACAATAGTCCTAACACATTTTGTTTGTGCATTGTCTATGAGTTAAATACCCTAATATTGATGTATGATTCCCACTCAGGGCTACCGTTGCTGGAGATCTTGAATCTCGGTACCTATGAAGTCACGTGTTACCATCTGAATACTTTGGTGTAATATAATACGGCGATCGTTGTGCTGGGTTTGCATCAGCGCCCATCGTATTGACAAATATAAATGTCTCCGATTTTGCATTCTGAGTGAGATATCGGTTGGCTTTGAGATTGCCACTTGAAACTAAATATAGCTCTTAAACTGGTTCAGGTTCCTCAAAACAAATACTGAAATTGTACAAATAGGTCGCATGGTGATATTTGCTTAAGCTTCCAGAAGGCGTGAATAGCAAGTAACCAATCGAAGCATTGCTAAGTGAATTAGAGGCTTGTTTTGATAAGAAAATCTGTAAACAGTGGTTATTATGAGAATAGTTTACAAAGAATACGTGGTTCAAGGTTATCTCTGGGGCCAAAAGTCTCTAGATTGCATGTCATAAAAGTGTAAATAAGTGTCGAGAAAATATGAAAGATTTTTTATTGATCAAAGATTACGTGTATGCATGTGCTAATTTCTAGGAATTTAATGATTTCCCTTTACATGCGACCCATTCTATCACTTGTGACGGTAGGAATATGAAAAGTACCTAATGAAGCATCCTATTTTAATTTGAAAAAAACACATGTGAAAACATAATGTGATGAACACATTAAAAAATAATATTTGTTAACAAGTGAATGACGGTTGTGCGACCATTTCCTCATTTACAACACAAAATTTGTCTGTATGATATAGATTTTTTCGTATGGCATATTTAGTGAAGAAAATATCATTAACCGCATAAACATTGTATTTATTTTAATTTAAATAACTTCACTTCCACAAAATTCACTCCCATATTATCACTTATCTTAGCAACTCTAAATGCTCTTCACTTTATAAAACAAACACCCTTATCAAAATATTAACACAGCTGGTACGACAAACATAACACAAAAGCAAAACATTAGTCAAAGTATCGAGATGCTAGCTTTTAATCTTCGTACAAAGGGGCTCCAGTTAGTTTGATGTTTCAAAAGAAAGTCTTGCTTTAATATTTGGAAGAAAATCACTTTCAAATCCACGCTTAAATGTGATGTTCCAAACATTTTACAAAAAAGGTATGTTCCGAAGATGCTTGGTTTGTGAGGGATTCTTGGTAAATGTCCATAAAGTCCGGAATCAAGATAAAGTCGCCTTTACTGTTATCAAATATTCACGCAAGCATTATTGTTCCATGTTGCTTTGAAAAATATGCAGAAAAGGGTTGCAGGAAAAGGGTTAAAAAAACAAATTGAAAATTAATGGATTCATAATAATTATTTCGAGTTAAAACATATAACTCAAAATCACACAGAAGAACCATTCATGATCTTATTTTTTGTCTCATGAAATGTTCGTTACTAATTGATTATGTTTAATTCATATTTCTGTTTTATTAATAAGCTGGATATCTTCTGTAGAAATGGAGTTTCGTTTAATTTATTTCTTATAGCTAAAATTTGTTCACTCAGAACAGATTTTAATATTTATTACATGATATAAAAACGTTTGTTTTTTGGGAGGAAGGAATACGAACTAGGGATTCAACTAGTCAGGAAGTAAATTCAAACAGTATAGTCTTTATGTGCTGTCTGATAATACGTGTATTTTAAGAAATATGTTAAATATTAATAATAAATAATTTAATGTAAACTTGAAATAATGTGTATAATGTTGCCAAATGTACCATCCTGTGTCCTTATTGATTTATATTTCAGGAAGTTCTGTATAGTTGCATGATTTGCAACCCAAATCAACTAAAGAGATGACATTAACTATAATTTTCTGCTAGACGGTGTGTATTTCGTTGTAAAATAAACAATATTTCATGAATTCGTAGTTTATTTCATTTTATCAGAAAACAGAACATAACGTAGCACATTTTAAATTCGCTTTTCGTCCACTAAGTGACATACAATACATTTTTCATACATTTCCAAGAAAATGAGAGCTTCATTTTTTTATTAGCGCTTCATAAGAATTAGAACACGTAGGGCAACACGGCACATACATTTTCGCATTAATTCGAAAATGTTTGAACATTTCTGCTTTTTTTGTACACATCCTCTTTTTACATGATCAGAAGAATTCATATCATTTGACGTAGACGCTGCTGTAATGTACGACAATGCCGCGGCAAGAGGAAAACTGTAAGAGCGTTCTGATCGTTTCCTTTCCCGACACTAGTTGCGTGAGAAGCTCGAGACCTGCCATGGTCACAGAATATATATTACACAAAACAGAAACTTCTCTGCATTCTCTGCGCCCGTTTATGTTGCGCTTTATTGAAACCGAATAAATTGCTGGGCCAAAGCCACCTCGCACACGTGTACCCTAGGCATCATTATTTCGATGTTAAAATTTATTATAATATTCTTGTTTATGATTCCTCTTTTTTTTTAAATGGAATGTTTTGATGAATGATGAAGTTGCTGTCTCCGGTGCTCTGATTGTATGGCATTAGTTTGTTTGTTCTTGTTTTTTGCAGTTTTACGTTCTCGAATATTTGTTTAGTAACCGTCTGTTGCTCATTATTAGGTTTGTTTCGTTGTGGATATTACATTTGTAATTATTTTAAGTAGTTAATGAGTTAAAGGAAAGGTGACTGAAGATGTATTTATTATTTCTCATCCTTTAGGACCTATTTCTCTCATTGAAATATATTTTGGCGCTTTCTTTCACTACAGGCGGATAAAGCAACATACTAGTTCCGTAAAACTGCAATAGTGAATCATGTTTCATTCACTATGGAGGTAAGGCTTTCTGTATCAATATCTACGTATTTGGAAGTACCGTGATTACTCGGTTTCTATATTGCGGTCAACGCGACTTCAATGCCTCTCGAAATTCAAAGAAACTGCAATTAAGCTTCCTTTCTGTTTACTTTATATTCTGTACCATGGTAGCTAGACCCATACTCCTGTGCCAGTAGGCAATCTTGCTTGGTCTAACAGATGTCCACAACGGTAAGCCACAATTTACACATAAATGTTAACACTGATTTTAAAATAGAGAATCCTATTATGAAGTTAAAAATATTACTAAGAAAAATTTAGAAAATAATTCCAACAAGGGATCAATAAAATGATAGTGGAGTTAATTTCACTTTTCGCACTTCTTCAGACACTTCGACATATCAAAATGGCAAAACACCGCTGACAAAATTCAGCGTTCAAACTATGAAGCTCGTGCGTCGATTTGTGGTTTTGTCATCGCATCCACTATAGCACATTCGTTCAGATTTTTTCGTCAGTTGTCTTAATTATATGATAACTATAATCCTTATAGTTGAAGAAACACTTGCTATTCTGCCCCAAATTCTTAATGTGTTACAATTATCCTGACTTTTTACTTTCCCGTATACGTACGTATACACGGAGTAATGTACATAGAATTGGGAAAGTTCTTTAAGGCTTCGGAAAATCGATTTCGAGATTCAATGATACCGAAAAACCTGATCCCCACAAATGGCTGTTTCTACAACGTCCGTCTGGCGTCCGTCTGAGAACACCACTAGGGCCTAAACAATACGTACGATTTTTTTTTTAATTGAAGAAACTCCTGTCCATCTGGTTCCAGCTTTAAGATTTTGAATCTTTGAGATTTTGAAAATCATTCTTTAAAATTTGGAGGTACTTTACATGAATCCCTTCGGACATTTTCAAAATTTTCTTAAAAACGGCACCAATTTTTTTTCTTTAAATATCTTGTAAGAATAGAGTAAAATACACTTATAAAGGTAGCTTAGGTACAATTTGCAAGGTTAACTCTGAAATAACGCTGAACTCTGCGTGTTCCTACAACTACAAAATTGAAGAGATTTTTCCTACAACTACAAAATTGAAGAGACTTTTCCTTCAAACGAAATATGTTGTCCATAATTGGTTCTTTCCTTAGGGTCATTGACATTATTTTAACATTCAATAGTTTTCGTGCAATTTTGCAATTTTAAAAAAATACAAAAACAAATTTTCTCAAAAACAGCTCCAATGTTTTTCTTTAAACTTTCGGTAGGGGTTGTGCAAAGTGCATTCTAACATGATGACATAATCGCCATATTGCTCTAGTCTTTTGTTTGTTTGTTTTTTTCAAAAATTAAAAACATTTAATTTTTTGACTTGTATCTCACGTCGTAAATATTTACAATAGCAGCAATATGTTCACATTATTATATTAATGACTACATGTGCTTTAAATAATATCGCACAGTTTCTAAAAAACGCAACAGTTTTCTGTGAAATAAAGCTCGAAATATTCTCAAAAAGGCTCTGAATTTTTCTTTACACTTTTCTAACGAATAGTGATAATGGCATTGTTTATTATGACATAAAGTTCATTTTATTGTTCTTTTTTGTTTTTCAAAAATTTGGGTGGCAATAGATGGCTGCTGGCAAGAGTATGTAACAAGTCCGAATAGCTAGCCCAGACAAAAGAAAATTGGAAAGTAATACGAGAAAGTCACTAATCTATACTTTAATGTTGTAGTCAGCTATGATGAATTAAGACAATGCATTACTGAAGTTTTTCAACAACTTCAAAGCATTGATGTGTTAAAAAGAGAGGAAGTTGTGAACTTTTGACATGATAACGACGAAATAAAAAGTTCATCCAACCCGATAAATAAAATTGACCTTGATATTGAAACATGCTGCAAAAAATAAGCATTATAATTTACCCAAAAAATGGAGCAAAGATAGATAAGGTATAGAAATGATAGCCTCATAACACAATATAGCAAATATCTGTTGATCAACATTTGAGCCTCACAACAGCATGTTGCAAACATGTGTTATTCAATATTTGAACCAACAGACACTCTGTGACTGATATCTCGTCGATATATAGAAACGATGCGTAGAATAGCTATACAATATTGTATGAAACAAAACAGAACAACTTCCACACGGAAAATGTATCTATGACCGTGTTCTTACTCCGATCATGCATAAATGTTGTGATAAAATATTTCAAAAAAATCATTTCTAATTGATACTGTTTTGTTGAGAGCACACGAACAATAAATTTGAAAATTTCAAATTGTAGTTATTAATTATTTGATATATTAATTAAAATTCTACTTCAAAACTACAAATTATTAAATCTACATATTTAATCAAAACTGAAAGAGTATGAAAGTAATTGTTACTATTTAAAATAGTTTTCATACAAATATTTTGTTACTTAAATGCTTACGTTACTTTAGTGCTTACCATGCCATTTATTTCAAATATTATAAATTCACTGTTTAAAATTATGTCGTATGGGCAAAGGTGGCTCAGGGCACCAACTGTAGTGAGTTGCTGGGCCTCTGACCGGGAGGTCCTATGGTTCGAATCCTGACGGAGCAGGATTTTCGACACCAGAAAGATTTTCTACACTACAGGATTTTCGACACCTGCTGGGTAGAGTTCAGCCGCTGTCTGAGCGAGTATTCTAGCGGCCCCCTGCACTGATGAGTAGTTTTCGTGGTTTTAAAATAGACTACTAGAATTAACGATGATGACAGGAAGCGCCACGTCAGTCAAGCAAAATCGCGTTCGCTCATTCACTTCACTACTGCAGAGTCTTGCTACATGCTGTATTTAGAATATCGATGTACACCAAAACAAATATATTCACTAGTAATTTACGAGTTTCATTAAATGTAAAATATCCACTAAATGTAGAGGTTAAATTCACAATCTAAAGATTTCTCGACTTACGACAATACAATGTTAGGACACGTCCTCTTAGTACATGCTGAGTACAAATACAATGTATACATTTTATTCAACCAACTCCTGATCACGGACAATCTAAGCAAAATAAATGTCTTTCCCAATATGAATTTTCAGATATCAAAATTGAATAAAATTCACAAGTTCACGTGGCCTATAACAACCTTGATTTCAAGTTTGTGCATATCCATACAATAATAAAAAACTTGTTCTTAACACGAAAATACGCTTCCAAAATAAAAATTTGTATTCTATGAACGTCCACGTCCCAAATCACAACTATGTTTATTTAGTCCTAGGAATCTCAAATGTCCCGTATTTCTTGCCTATTATGCCTCAAACATTTCTAAGTTCTAATATTGAGAGGATCAAAATACCTCTTGTAATAATTTGAATAAATGATAAAATATGTCGACGGAATACAAATGGAAAGATAGATAAATACGAGATATATAAACAAAAGTGAGACATTGGGGACTTCAGAGTACGGACAATACAAATAAAATTAATTTGAGAAATATATTTTAAATATTAGAAAAATATTTTCTTCAAGTAAACAATTTTTACAAAAGACTATTTTAGATGGACAAGTGAACTTAGATGTGCAGATGAGATGCAGATAAAATGGCATTTTAATGACACGTAAAACAAAGAAAAACAAGAGAAGCTAGGAGAAGATGAGTTGCAAGTATGTAAAAGTTAGAACGGAATGTCTCTCGATGGAAGCAGGGTGCAGTGCTGTAAGCAGCACAATTTGTTTTAAAGTTTGTCTTAAAAACAGAATGTGTTTTGAATAGATGCAAATATTAGGTCGCGAAGTGATTGAAATTTTTTGTTGACGAGTTAATTAAGAAAAGAAAACCGCGGGGAGTTTAAAAATATTGTGGTAACATGAAAGTGTGGAACACTGGAAGAAATGGATGATGGGCGACCCAAACATTTTTGAAAATATAAGTGTACGACCAGGAACAGAACTCTTCTCGACTCATCGCTAGAGGGCAGATCTTCATCAAAAGGGAAGTGTAGAAATGAAGAACCCCATAAAGACATTGAGAAAATATTTATTGTTCAAGGCCAAGAATGTCATTAGAAAATTAAGTAAAAATTTAGT